TGACGGTTTTATTTAAAGTCAAATACTAAACTTTGACCGACAGAAAAACATCTAATGGCGGGCGGTAATTTACAGGTAAGTGGCAGACATTTACTAACAATGATTACATAAGACTGCCCAAATCAAAGAGATGTTAACTCGGCTTTTAATAAACTCAGCCTTTTATTAAATAAGCAACTAGGGATTTTATATTGTATGAATGTCTAATTTAGAGACTAACAATAAGCCAACTTGAATGTATTTAGCCATAAATTCAATTATAAGTAATGGAAAAAAACAGGCACTACTGCGTAAGGAGTGTAAATCACTACTAATGCTTCATAGATGAAGAAACTCTAACAATATTTAGTTGGGGCTTTATTGTCCCATAGTGAAACATATTTTCTAGCTGTTTTCCCTTTTCCAGTGATGAAAAGTAGGAAAGTAAAGAACTAAATTACTTTATTTACATAAAAGTTAGCTTTTTGCTACTTTGTTTCTGTCTCAGGCAATTTAAATGGGCAGAGTTGTACTTTTTACAATTAGAAAACAATGTATAACTTAAACTGTGCAGGTAATTGTTGCTATGGATAGCAAAAACAACAAAAACAAAACTTGGCTCATTGTTTAAGCTGTCCATGCAAGTCACAGAAGTAGCTTTAATATCCCCCAAATTACCCAGTATTTCACAAACAGAACAAATATGATGTACAAGGAGGCCTGTATGTGTATAACATTTATGTAATCATTTTCTTGTTTTCTTGTTTTTTGGCCCTGAGGTGTTTCTAGTAAGACCCCACCCACTGGATGGAACAGCCTAGACTGAATGATCAATATAGAATAATTATGTCTAATTTTAAAATGCTGCATATGTAATCACAGGACACCACAATTTAGAATTTTAATTTATGGTGTTAGTAATACTTTTGAATACTATCTTTTTAAAGTGTATTTTATAATTAAAATGGTAAATGGTAAATGGCCTGTATTTGTATAGCGCTTTACTAGTCCCTAAGGACCCCAAAGCGCTTTACACATTCAGTCATCCACCCATTCACACACACATTCACACACTGGTGATGGCAAGCTACATTGTAGCCACAGCCACCCTGGGGCGCACTGACAGAGGCGAGGCTGCCGGACACTGGCGCCACCAGGCCCTCTGACCACCACTAGTAGGCAACAGGTGAAGTGTCTTGCCCAAGGACACAACGACTGAGGCTGTTGGAGCCGGGGCTCGAACCAGCAACCTTCCGATTACAAGACAAACTGCCAACTCTTCTCCACGATCGCCCCACCATGCTAAACAACTTACCGGCATATATGACCAAACAAGAAGCACAAACAAGAACCAAAAAAATTCATATAAGTTCTATAAATGTGTAATAAATCCTTCTGTTTCATCTTGTTTGTTTTCAGAAAGCCATAGATTTGGCCAGCAAGGCCGCAGAGGAAGACAAGGCCAAAAACTATGAAGAGGCCCTCAGATGTTATCAGCACGCAGTGCAATACTTCCTTCATGTTGTGAAGTGTGAGAAACTTGTACCACTGTTAGATTTGTACATCCTTTTTGCTGTTTTAAACTCCACTTCGGTTCCGCATGAATGATCTAAGTCAGTTTTTGCGTTGCAGATGAGGCCCAAGGCGATCGGGCGAAGCAGAGCATCAGGGCAAAGTGTGCTGACTACCTGGACAGAGCTGAGCAACTGAAGCAATATCTGAAGAAGAAAGAGAACGCTCCTCCAGCCAAACCCGTCAAAGAGTCTGGTGACAAAGGGTAGGAGCAATCAATAAATCTGAGTCCATTTCCCAATGTTTGTTGCTTTGTTTACAGTTTAGACTTTGTTCTGCAGGCTGGGTAATTTCCTGAAAGGAAAGTTAAATGTAATTTGGTCTGAATAATGGACAAAGTTGAGAGTTATTGTTAGTTGCCTTGAAATTCTATGTGCAATTTTTTTAACGGACTGAGACAGAGATCAGTTTAAATGTGTACAAATATATATCCATTTATTTATTAAATTTAAAGTTAGCTCTGTGACAGATATTTTAAAATGTTTTTGCGTCATTGTAAATTCAGCGGACTTTCTTTGAGTCTTAAACTTTACTCTCACAATCGTTCGCTCAGAAGCACATTGCTCAATCTGCATCCACTTTGCGGATTTAATCAATAAAAACAAGCAAAGTTATTGGAACAGTTGTTCAACAGTAAATACTTATGTATAACACTTAACGCGTAAATAAACCATTTTAATGAATCCCTTTCCAGTCAGCAGATGCATTTAATGAACATTTAATGCAGCTGAAGCAGGAACATCTGTAAACCAGCCTGTATTTATCTATAAATGGATGAGTAAGTCCCATTTAATGAGGTGTCAACAGCGTTTTTATACTGCATGAAAAATGTTTCATTCAGTTCATTAAACCTTTCCATTCAGCTGAAGGCAGCAGAACATGTATGTTAATGAATTTGAAGCCTCTGAATTTTTATTTATTATTTATCTGTTGAAGTGTTGCTCTGATAATTTGCATGACGATCCACTTACCTTTACAGTTGTTAAATCACCTGCAGATGTCAGCCGGTTGCTATAACTTAATCACACTCACTTGTATACACATCAGACAGGTTGTTCTACCAGTTATGCTTTATTATTGAAATGCATTACAT